GTGTCCCCATGTCACTGGGGATGGCTCTGTGTCCCCCTGTGTCCCCCTGTGTCCCCCTGTGTCCCCGGGGCTGGCCCTGTGTCCCTCTGTGTCCCTCGGGGATCCCTGGGGATGGCTCTGTGTCCCTGTGTCCCCCTGTGTCCCCCTGTGTCCCCCTGTGTCCCCCTGTGTCCCCCTTTGTCCCCCTGTGTCCCCCTGTGTCCCCTTTGTCCCCCAGCCCCTGGAGCCCGTGGGGTGTTGGTGTTGGCTCTGGGCTGGCAGCGGGGCGGCCACCGAGCCCCTCCCAGCAGGGCCATCGATTGTCCTTGGGGTCACTCTGCCACCTCTGACCCCTGAGTGTCCCCAGCGTGGGCCATCAATTGTCCCTGGGGTCACTCTCGGTGCCCAGCTCAGGGTCACAGGTTGGGGTCACAGCTCGGGGTCACTCTCGGTGCCCAGCTCGGGGTCACAGCTCGGTTCCGAGCTGGTTCTGAGCCCGCTCCATCCCGAACCGATCCGGGCCCGGTTCCGAGGCCGCTCCATCCCGAACCGATCCGGGACCGGTTCTGAGCCCGCTCCATCCCGAACCGATCCGGGCCCGGTTCTGAGCCCGCTCCATCCTGAACCGATCCTGGCCCGGTTCTGAGCCCGCTCCATCCGAACCATTCCGGGCCCGGTTCTGATCCCGCTCCATCCCGAACCGATCCGGGACCGGTTCTGAGCCTGCTCCATCCCGAACCATTCCTGGCCCGGTTCCGAGGCCGCTCCATCCCGAACCGATCCGGGCCCGGTTCTGAGCCCGCTCCATCCCGAACCGATCCGGGCCCGGTTCCGAGGCCGCTCCATCCCGAACCGTTCCGGGCCCGGTTCTGAGCCCGCTCCATCCCGAACCGATCCGGACCGGTTCTGAGCCCGCTCCATCCTGAACCGATCCTGGCCCGGTTCTGAGCCCGCTCCATCCCGAACCGTTCCGGGCCCGGTTCTGATCCCGCTCCATCCCGAACCGATCCGGGCCGGTACCGGGAGGGGGCGGGGCTCAGGCTCCCCCTGCCGGCGAGCCCGGGAAGCGCAGCCGGGACTGCGCATGCGCAGTGCGCTGGTTTCCCACGCTCGCTGCTGCCCTCGTGTGGACAATCGGGGAAGCGCAGACAGAGAGATGTGCGGGAAAAGAGAGGGGAAAAAGGGAAAAGAAAGAGGGAAAAGGAAGAGGGAAAAGTAAGAGGGAAAAGAGGGAAAAGAAAGAAGGAAAAGAGGGAAAAGAAAGAGGGAAAAGAGGGAAAAGAAAGAAGGAAAAGAGGGAAAAGAAAGAAGGAAAAGAGGAAAAAGAAAGAGGGAAAAGAGGGAAAAGAAAGAGGGAAAAGAAAGAGGGAAAATCCCCTTTGTAAAGGAAAAAATGCTTTCCTGAGCCAAACAGCCACTTTCTGCACAAATTCAGGGGTACTGGGCTGTGAAAAACGAGGTTCACCTAATTTTTATAGAACTTGAAAGTTTCATAAAAAAGACAATTAGGAGAAAAAATAAAGTAAAGTATACAGATCTGGCTGGGTGTCTCTGCATTCACCTCACTGACAAAGGATTGTCCCTTAAAAACAGAATCCTGCTACATATCCACAAATTCTCACACATATCCATAAATTCTCACACATATCCATAAATTCTCACACATATCCATAAATTCTCATACATATTCATAAATTCTTCTTAGGATTTTTGGTGTTCTTCTGTTTAGTTTTCTCTTGCTCCCTTCCCAATAGATCAATCTTCTTGGCGCCATTGAGATTTACATTCCCAGATACCAGAAATGCAATAAATTCCTCCCCCCAGAGTTCTGGGCACTGCTGGCTTCATCTGGATAAGAGAGTTTACAAATGCAGGAGTTCTCCAGCTATTTTTTTTTGTTGTTGTTGTTGTTGTTTTGTTTCTCAGTCTTTGGGTTACACAAACAAAAGCAGTTTTTATTTTAATACTATTCAATATACTAACATATACGTATTATACCACTATTTCTAAATTTCATCAATAACAGAAATAAAACTATATTAATACAACAAAAATTTCTCATTCTTATACACGTAACATTCATTTTAATATTTGCAAAAAGCCAACAATATAAAATGTAACTATAACATCTATTTTATAAAAACAGCCGCTTTCTTCACAAATCCAGAGGTGCTGGGGCCTCTCTCTGCTTTTCTCTATTTTATTTTAATTAATTTTTCGTTCTGCTCTGTTGTGAGGTGCCTCGGTGTCATAAATATCATATTATCGGCTTTTGGCAAGTATTATAATGAATATTATATGTATAAATCAGAAAATTTAGCTGTAATAATATAGTCTTTATTTCCGTTATTGGTGAAGTTAGGAATAGTGGTATAATACATTTGTGTTTAGCTATGATGTAGCATTAAAACAAAAACTACTTTTGTTTGTGTAACCCAAAGACTGAAAAAGAGCTGGAGAGGTTTTTTTCCTTTTTTAAACTCTCTTATCCAGATGAAGACAGCAGTGCCCAGAACTTTGGGAGGAGGAATTTATTACATTTCTGGTATCCAGTGCCCAGAACTTTGGGAGGAGGAATTTATTACATTTCTGGTATCAGGGAATGTAAATCTCGATGGAACCCAGAGCATTGATCTATTGGGAAGAGGACAAGGTAAAAACTAAACTAAAAACCATAAAAAATCTTCAGAAGAATGTCTGAGCATGTATGAGAATGTAAGAATATGTATGAGAATTTATGGATATGTGTGAGAATTTATGGATATGTGTGAGAATTTATGGATATGTGTGAGAATTTATGGATATGTGTGAGAATTTATGGATATGTAGCAGGGTTCTGTTTTTAAGGGGCAATCCTTTGTTAGTGAGCTGTGCTCTCTTGCCTGAATGCAGAGACACCCGGCCATATCTGTATACTTTACTTTATTTTTTTCTCCTAATTGTTTTTTTTTATTAAACTTTTAAATTCTATAAAAATTATGTGAACCTCTTTTTTTTCACAGGATGGAGTTACCCCATCCCAAACCCCTTGAGAAGGGCGGCCCAGGGGTTCTGATTGGGTTTGGGTCCCTGGGGGTTTCACCCTTGGTGTGTTTCTGGTGGGTCCCTCAGAGGTGGAGACCCTTGAGAGTTCTGTCCCTCAAAGACCCCGGCCCTGCTTTTGTTCTGGGCTGATTGTTCTGGATCTGAGTTTGTTCCCGTATAAATAAATGGTTCCCGTATAAATAAATGGTTCCCGTATAAATAAATGGTTCCCATATAAATAAATGTTTCCCGTGCTCAATAAATGTTTCCCATATAAATACATGTTTCCCATATAAATAAATGGTTCCCATATAAATAAATGTTTCTCGTGCTCAATAAATGGTTCCCATATAAATAAGTGTTTCCCATATAAATACATGTTTCCCATATAAATAAATGGTTCCCATATAAATAAATGGTTCCCATATAAATAAATGGTTCCCATATAAATAAATGTTTCCCATATAAATACATGTTTCCCATATAAATAAGTGTTTCCCATATAAACACATGTTTCCCATATAAATAAGTGTTTCCCATATAAATACATGTTTCCCATATAAATAAGTGTTTCCCATATAAATACATGTTTCCCATATAAATGTTTCCCATATAAATAAATGGTTCCCATATAAATAAATGGTTCCCATATAAATAAATATTTCTCGTGCTCAATAAATGTTTCCCATATAAATACATGTTTCCCATATAAATAAATGTTTCCCATATAAATAAATGTTTCCCATATAAATAAATGTTTCCCGTGCTCAATAAATGTTTCCATGACCAGAACCCGTCTGTTTGGGGCTCCATTCTGCTCCCCAGAACCTGAGGCTTCCCTGGATTGATCCTGAGGTTGGTGACCGCAACCCTGCTCGTTTTCATTTCTCTCCTCCCGGCGCCGCTCCCGTTGCGTCGTCTCGAATCGGGAGCTTTGGAGCTGGCCCCGAGCTGTCTGTCTGTCCGTCTGTCCGTCTGTCCGTCTGTCTGTCCGTCTGTCCGTCTGTCTGTCAGTCTGTCTGTCCATCCATCCGTCCATCTGTCCATCCATCAGTCCATCTGTCTGTCTGTCCGTCTGTCTGTCCGTCTGTCCGTCTGTCCGTCTGTCTGTCCGTCTGTCCGTCTGTCCGTCTGTCTGTCCATCTGTCTGTCCGTCTGTCCATCCGTCTGTCCGTCCGTCTGTCCATTTGTCTGTCCATCTGTCTGTCCGTCTGTCCATCCACCCGTCCGTCTGTCCGTCCATCTGTCCATCTGTCTGTCCATCTGCCTGTCTGTCTGTCTGTCCGTCTGTCCATCTGTCCATCTGTCCGTCCGTCTGTCCATCTGTCTGTCCGTCTGTCTGTCCGTCTGTCCATCTGTCTGTCCGTCTGTCTGTCCGTCTGTCCGTCTGTCCATCTGTCCGTCCGTCTGTCTGTCTGTCCGTCTGTTATTCCGTCCGTCCGTCTGTCCGTCCGTCTGTCTGTCTGTCCGTCTGTTATTCCGTCCGTCCGTCTGTCCGTCTGTCCGTCTGTCTGTCCATCCGTCTGTCCGTCTGTCTGTCTATATGTCCATCTGTCTGTCCATGCGTCCGTCTGTCCGTCTGTCCATCCGTCTGTCTGTCCGTCTGTCCGTCCGTCTGTCCATCCGTCCGTCCGTCTGTCCGTCCATCTGTCCATTTGTCTGTCCATCTGTCCATCTGTCTGTCCATCTGTCCATCTGTCCATCTGTCCGTCCGTCTGTCCATCTGTCCGTCCATCTGTCCGTCTGTCTGTCTGTCTGTCTGTCTATATGTCCGTCTGTCTGTCCGTCTGTCTGTCCATGCATCCGTCTGTCCGTCCGTCTGTCTGTCTGCCTGTCAGTCTGTCCGTCCATCCATCCGTCCGTCCGTCTGTCCGTCTGTCCGTCCGTCTGTCTGTCTGCCTGTCAGTCTGTCTGTCCATCTGTCCGTCCGTCTGTCTGTCCATCCACGGAGAGCCCCCAGCAGCTCCCCCAGCCCCTACAGCCCCTCCCCAGCTCCATCCCCACCCCGGCCTCGCTCCAGCTCCTTCACCAGGGGCCGCAAAAAGAGGGAAAAGGGAGGAACATTTCTGACCGAGGGAAAAGGGAGGAACATTTCTGACCGAGGGAAAAGGGAGGAACATTTCTGACCGAGGAACAAACGGAGGAACATTTCTGACCGAGGGAAAAACGGAGGAACATTTCTGACCGAGGAACAAACGGAGGAACATTTCTGACCGAGGAACAAACGGAGGAACATTTCTGACCGAGGAACAAACGGAGGAACATTTCTGACCGAGGGAAAAGGGAGGAACATTTCTGACCGAGGAACAAACGGAGGAACATTTCTGACCGAGGGAAAAGGGAGGAACATTTCTGACCGAGGGAAAAGGGAGGAACATTTCTGACCGAGGAACAAACGGAGGAACATTTCTGACCGAGGAACAAACGGAGGAACATTTCTGACCGAGGGAAAAGGGAGGAACATTTCTGACCGAGGGAAAAGGGAGGAACATTTCTGACCGAGGAACAAACGGAGGAACATTTCTGACCGAGGGACAAACGGAGGAACATTTCTGACCGAGGGAAAAGGGAGGAACATTTCTGACCCAGGGAAAAACGGAGGAACATTTCTGACCGAGGGAAAAGGGAGGAACATTTCTGACCGAGGAACAAACGGAGGAACATTTCTGACCGAGGAACAAACGGAGGAACATTTCTGACTGAGGAACAAACGGAGGAACATTTCTGACCGAGGGAAAAGGGAGGAACATTTCTGACCGAGGAACAAACGGAGGAACATTTCTGACCGAGGAACAAACGGAGGAACATTTCTGACCGAGGAACAAAGGGAGGAACATTTCTCCGTGGCCTCCTTGAAGGACGGGGTTTGAAAAACGGAGATTTCCATTTCCTCCGAGGAGAATTCCGGGCTTTATTTTCAGGAAGGAGGCGCCGTGCAGGGGAGGCTCTCCGAGAGCTATCGCGGGTCAAATT